ACGGCACCCCAAAACCGCACATAAACAAACCCCTCGTGACCCCTGTTTTCGAGGCCCGAAAGGACACCTCCCCAAAACCCTCCTGCCGCTGGGTCTGGCCCGAATTTGACCACATTTGGGGTTTCCCCTCCCCCACACCCCCTTAGTACTGATCAGCAAAGCTGGACCTGGACTCAAGCTTGAGGAAGCTTTCGTAATCATAGGCAACATCACACCAATGTGCAGTCTCTGGAATTCATCTTCGCAGTCTTACATTGCACCCCTCCCCAATGCAATACCAATCAAATATCCCGTTTTCCGCTACGTGTTCAGCCAAATCAGAGACGCTCAGACATGTGGTCAAGGCTCCGCCGCGCTTCGTGGTTTTGGCGCCAACCTCAGCTTGGCGGCGTTTACCTATAGCTCCCTGGATCTGAGTGGAAGCTACGACTCCATCAGGAAAGAGGTCAATTTTGGCTCACCTGCTCTGCACTCCCAAGTCTCCTCGATTGCTGGCAATAGCTTCAGCGTCATGAAAGTTTCTGCGGAAGCCTCGGCTTTCTGGGCGTCTTGCGAAATCCACGGCTCATCCGAGTATTGGCGCAGGAGTACGAGACCCCGAGCTGGCGCCAAATGCTCTGAAAGATCCACTGCTTGAAGGGCCTGTAAAGCAGTCTGCAGGGTGTGAGAAGATAGTCTTCCGGAATGAACTGCCAACGCAGCACCGGCGATGTATCGCACCATGTTATATAGGAAGCCATCACCTTGTAAACGAATACAAGCAAGATTACTGCCAGGAGCCTCCTCCACATTCACCGCCATGATGGTGCGTTCGGATGCTGCTCGCATGGCTCTGTGCACCCGCAAGTTTGAGATGGCTGCAGCACTGTACTGTGATTCCTTCCTCGCGCGTTTCCAACTTTGAAGACTATGAGCCCAGGTTTGTAGCTCCGGGCTTCGTTGGATCTTCTTCTTCAGCCCCTCCAGTTTCTTCAGTTCGGTAAAGTTGGCAAAGCAATGATCACCGACAAATTGCTTCAGAATGTCTCGCAGTCCCTCGATATCACCCTCCAGCAAAGCAAGCGGCACAAAATATCCGTACTCCCTGCTGACATTGTAGGTGTGGCGGATGTTCTCTCCTCGTGGTTTCAGGACCGCCCGATGCAGCTGTATGCCATCTGGAAGTTCTCGGGCAAGCGCGTGAGTCGTCTCCACGGAGCTTGGCCACCTCAGAGTAAACAACATGGCAAGCAAGAAGCAGACACCATCACAAAGTCATGCCGCGCGCGAGGGTGTGATTCTTGCTAGCGCACCCTCAAAAGGACGGCATGGCGTAATCGCATGGATAAAGCCCGCGGCATGTGAGTAACGTGAGGTTTCCTAAACAAAATGCGAGGGATAATCTTGAATTGCTACCAGGAACATCCGTGTATACACAAGATCCAGCCGTGATGCCGGACTGCAGCTCACATGATAAAGCTCAAGAGTATTTTAACAGCTTAGGGCAGCACTCGAGCGTCTCTGGATTTATGAGGGGAGGCGTCGTGAGTAGAAAGCTACGAGCGCTTGCACCAGCATCCACACGGCTCAAGCAGGCCCATAGGCTCCGAGTTGCTCGATCATCCTGTTGCCCGCTTACCCATCCAAGCCTCTCAGCACACCGCATTATCTGTCCCAAAACAGTTGGACGCTCGTCTTCCGCACCTGTGCTCTGAGAGCCATGATAGCAAGACCCATCGAAGCCGATTTCCAAAAGAAACTCATGTGCGCGATATGCAGATGGAGGTGCTTTGACCTTCAGTGCTGTTGTCAAGCGTTCAGGGTCGCCCAAGTCTTCTTCGCCTACAAAATCCCGAAGCACTGAGCTGGGGAGGAGAAGTCCATTGGACAAGTACCGTCGGCCAAAATAAGTTTGTTTCACCACATAATCAGTCTCAGCCAGAAGCCCATCCCACCCAGATGCCTTGCTAAGGGCTTTTGGAATCTGCGCTCCAACTCCGACAAAAAAGGCAGCATCTCCTCTGCAGAATTCCCCTGATCGCACCACCACGGGCAGCTGACATTCTGGGAAGCTCGGATCTGGAACCAGTGCCAGCTCGAATCGGCCGTTGCTTGTCGTGTGTGGCAAAATCTCCGAAATGTGCGTTGAGTAAACCAGCGCTTCTGGTACTTCCGCTTGCTCCGCTTGCTCCGGCTCCAAGGGCTTGGCCTGGAGTCGGCCCAGTCGGGATCTCTTGCTCGCCATGTCGGCCTTCCTCAAACACCGTCTGACAAATCGGCCCATAGACAGAGCCTGCACAGCGCCAGCCAAAGCAGCTTTGGCAGGGGCGGCAGGAACTGGAAAACGCCATCGCGGCTGAGCTCCACTGACTCTGCCTTTGAGTTCCAGTGGAGGCCGAGGAGAGTGGAGGGCTAGCATCTCCACACAACAAAGCGCAATGAACACTGCGGGCAGCGGATGACAAGCTGGTAGTTTGTTGGGTGCAGCACTCCTGGCTACGTCTTGCCTGCACAAACCTTGCCAAGCTGCAGGTTAGCCAGCAGCACGCACGCGGCAACTCCACCAGCAACAAGAGCTATGGTATGTACCTGACCATTGCGAGATGCGTTATACCTGCAGTGTCCCCGCCTCTAGATTTGGCCAGAGCACAAAGCTTTCCATCTGCACTTCCAACGAGGAACGCGGTGAACCCTTCTTCATGGTATTGGCGATTTGCCCTGCCCGTGCAAGACTGCATGGCGTGCTCACAAAATAATGTTCTCATGATTTTGCAGATAGCAGATCGTTCTTCGGACAGCTTCAGCTGTCCTGGGACTGTAGACCCAACTCAACCACTTTATCCGGTGACCGGCTGCCGCAAAATCACAACCCTCCTGAATCTCTTCCACAGGCGAGCAGCATTTTTTCCGTCAGCAATGGCCCCAAAACAAGCACTTACAAAGAATGATGCGCGAGCATCTGCGATTTGTGAACTGTACTCCTTTTGTCGGCGAAGCCAGCAACCACTGAACTTGCTGTCCAATATCATAATGACACACTATGACTGCAAACCGAAAGCTGCAAAAAAAGAAACCTCAAGATGACTCATGACACGCCCGAAGTAAACGCGCGTTAAACAAAACAAGCAGGTGTCACTGTCATGGCTTTCATCCCGCCTAGGAACGTGCTATCACCAGTGGAGTGGACGACACATGTCGCAGTTCCCTTCAGCACGGAGGTGCCGAAGAAGGCGAGGCAGCGTGCCTCTTTCAATATTGAGGTACCACGTACAGATGCTAACATCTGATAGCATATAATGCTTAACAGCACTTAGACTTCACTTGGGGCATCCTCCGGGCCTCCATGGCGGGCACGGTGGGCATCTCGGGCTTGGCACTGCGGAGCTCCGGCACCGTCTCGCCGGTCAAAGCCGCGTTGTCCACCTCCGTGCCGTTGCTACAGTGGATGATCCGTACATCCGCAGGGACTCTCTGACCTCAAAAAAACACATGGTGAAGTCAGATGTGACCGCAGCAGATCAATATCAGGATTAATTACACGTCCTGGGGCTCCTACCAGGCTCCAAAAGAATGATGTCGCCCGAAACAAGCTCCGTGGGAGGCAGTTGCTGGTCCAGCCGCTGCCCATCTTCTGAAATACGGATAGTCCGTACAAATTCTGCAGCTTGCAGATTACGCAGCGCCTCCATGGACGATTCTGCCTTGAGCTCTGTGTAGCACTGCAGGGCCGCAGTGCTTAAGATGACAAGCGACAAGATTGCAGGCGTGACTGGGTCCCTTTGGCCCGGATACACGAAAAGCAGGCACACCTGACAAATCAACTGTTTGACAAGGCCTCCGCTGGATTGGAGTTCAATTTGGAAAATACCCAGCCTCTGCGACCACGCACACCCATAAAAGAAGGTTCAGAAGGCCGGCAAAAGCAGTCCTTCAAAGCTCTGCGCTGCGCTTGAGGTACTTGGCAGATCTTGCAGGCTACTGACTTCAACGTTGTCAGTGCTGTCCTGAGGAACTTCTCCAGTGGAGTCTCAACCTCTGGTGGTGTGAGCATATTGGGGCCATCCTCGGGTGGTACAATATCCCGCTGCAAACCTTCTGTCTCGAGATAATCCTCTGCAAAAAATTCCGGTCCTTGGCAAGTCGTTGTCGGGCTTCGGCATCCCGCAAACCACAAGGACCGGAACGGCAGTGGCTCTCCTTCTGACACCAAAGCTGTAGTCACCAATCCAAACTGCTGCATGAGTTGCATGCGCTCCTCTCGGTTCGGAATTGAAGTAAGCAAACGTTTGGCCAACTTTTCCAATTCCAGGCTGTGGATCGGGTCAGGCTCGCCAAGCTCCTCACAGAAGGCTTTTTTTGTTTATACCTAGACCGCAGGGGGTTAGGAGACATCCCGAACACCATGTTTCACAGTATCTTCTTAGTTCCGCCCTGCGATGGGCAATGCACCCCCATGTCAGCAACACGGCCTGAGAACACCAAAGCAGCTAGAGGCAACATAGCAGGGCCCAGAGTTGCAATTGCTGGTTGAACAAGATGGTGCATTTGTGTCCTCGCTGCCGCTCGATCTCTGTCGTCGTAACTCGAGGCTGAGCCGCTGCCTGGAAGAAGCAGTTTGCTACAAAAGGACACATTCAAGCAGCATCTTCCATTAAATCAACTTAGAATAATTCGACCCTGCCTCACGCACTCTGCCACCCCAGTGATTTCATCACTGCTTGACATCCTCCGAATATGAGGATGACCAGGGCGTGCCACTGCATGTGTGATCCCATCAAGAATCGCTCACTCGTGCCTGGATTCAACTGGAAACTACACGCAAAAGCTCTGCAATACCTAAGCGTGATAGACTCTCAAAAACTAACAGCAGAGTCAGGACCATTCACGACCGCTGTCCGCTGGGTTCTGCCGCGCATCAATATCCTTAGACGAACGACACAGAGATGCATGCCCTGCATGCTTCCGGCACATACAACATCCAAATTGCCACCAGGCAGCCTCTCTCCTGTCAAAGTGGAGTCATGTGAATCACTTGGTGGAAGCACTGACCTTAGCAGTGCTTGCTGGAGCCAGCCGATCACGTCATGGCATCACGCGATGCCTGTCAACGGCTTCTTCTGGAATCTCGTCACTGGACGTCCTTGCAAGCACTGCACGCAAGGATCTTATCCAAAGAAATCGCAAGTGAATTGTGGGACAATGCGCATTCAGCATGCTGGCGTGGATCCGGTGAGCTCTGCCACGCGCGGCCTGCCTCAATCCAGGAAATGGGGCAACTCTATCTGCCTACAGGCTTCAAGCTCGCATCACTGCTGCCTTGCCGCAACCTTATCACCAACATGACACATAAGTCGCCGCCTCAATCCAGGTGCCGGCGGTTCAGCTACACTTTGTGCGGCTGCGGCCGCTGGTGGTTCAGCTACACTTTGTGCAGCTGTGGCCGGCCTCTTGTTTTGCAGGTGATCAGGCAACAGTCTCCCCATGATTCACGTGCACTTGGTTGCTGCCACCTGTCACCAGCAGCGGCCGCCGTGCTTTCATCGCTGCTAGAAGTCCTTCTGAGCAGAGTCACTTCATAATGTTCATGCTGCCACCCCACACACTCTGACTGAGTCAACTCGGAATCGGTCCGGTGGGCTCTGCCCCGCGCAGCTTGCCTCGACCAAGCACAAAACAACGAGCTGAAAGCTTCGAACAACACAGGCGGAGGGTGAGTTCGTTTCGTTTGTTCCTGTGTAAGTGAGGCGAACATTCTTTGCCCAAAATGTGTGCAGGCACTCTTCTTGTTCACAACTCTTCCGTTCACAGCTCTTATACTCATCGGTTGTTATCTTTATTTGAATTTATTTGTGAAGACACGGAAGGCCATGTTCGCAGCGACAACACTAAGCATGTACCAAATGGAGTCCAGGATGCAAAGCAGAAGGCAGAAGCTTTCTGGTGCTCAGATTGTCTATGCCGGTGTGAGATTGGTCCGGCTGCTCCAGCCAAAAGACTGAAGCAGCTGCACTTGCATCCCTCATTCTGCCATGGATGCAGCATCCCCTTGGTGCCATGGCGCAGTAGCCAATCCATGGACACCACCTAGTTACCATAACCACCACCATGATGAGGATTGCTGTTCGTATGATTCGTTGTACTGAGCACTACTAAAAGCCTTGCATTTCCTAAATGTGACTATGGCCTCCGCCCCGAAATCCTCCATGTTGCGAAGCTACACACGCTGCACAAGCAAGAAAACATGACCCACTGGGTCCAAATCTTGCATTTCCGCCGCGCGACTAGTTGTCACCGTCGTGGGAAAAGAAGATCAAGAAGCAACAGCAAGTAGCAAGTAGCATGCAGTAAGTGTCAATTCTAGTAAACACTGTAATGATGGCAGTCGCAGTTGCAAGATATTCAGTCATGACCGCGGAATCAAAGAGAAGCGAGTCAATCAACGACCATGCGTCATGGTCAGATACATGTGAAACGGCGGCCATGGTCGTCACGAACATTGTACACCCACGACAAATTAAGCAACTGCAGACCACTTCCGGTAGATAGGGCCAACTAGACAGAAGCATCAAAAGAACAAGTTCAGCAAGGATGACTCTAGGCTGATGCTGCTCAAATCACACACAAGGAACAGCTTGCATATGCGGCTGACTTCTACTGACAGAACGGCATCAACACATCTCACAAGCAGCAGCTGCATGGCACACTCGACCAACATACTGGATACACTGTGTATGTGTTCACCAAAAATTTCGAAAAGGAAACTTGTTGGAGAGCGGGAAGGGTTAGACTACAGAGAAAGCATAGCAGTTAATTGTATATCATTGTTATCATAATGTCATAGAAACGATGATCAGCAAATCTTCCACTGTGACAAGGCTGGATGAGAAAATGGTTACCCCCATGGGATCCTAGTTTTCTTGTTTTAAAGTCTTCAAGTGCTTGTAGCGGTGTCTATGGTTGGCTTGTGAAATGCTCCATCCTGTTGGAAAATACAAAGCTTTATGTTCCTCATGCCTCATGTCTTTAGATGACATTTGTTACGATTACATACTATTACAACATATTGCAAGGGAGGCCTGTTCGTGTAGTAACTAAAAATAACTAGAAAGCCTGGCGCAAGCTTTTAATTTTCATATTCAGCTTGGGGTTCGCTCAAGGTCTGGGCAACCAAGCCTTGCAAGTCAGGCAAGGGACCCTGAACGACTCAGTGAGATGTTGAAGGCGTCAGGTTGAATCCCGTTTTTCCGATAAGGCCAGATCCATACGCCTTTGGGCGTGAAATGGTGCCTTGTCCCAAGTTCCTCCCAGACAGCCCACGCTCTGCAATGGACCCCTCATGCGGTCCATTGGCAGTAGTGCATATTGTTCTCATGTGGACTCTAACTTCATCCCCCACAGTTGCCGAATCCCCTTTCAGTCACAAGGGCTGCAGCCCGGACCACCACGAACACTTGAACATGACTGCGACCCCGACCGACACAACGACGACAATCGCGACAACAACCGATCATGACCACGGTAAGTTCGACAAGGGTACGACGACCTTGGCAACGACTGCTATCTCACACCCGCATTTGCTGGCTGTGAGGCTAAGTCCGCCGACTGAGCCCCAAGGTTCGGAAATCAACGCATCACCACATGCAATTACTAGCACCTGCCTCAATCCAGGTGCCGGTGGTTCAGCTACACTTTGTGCGGCTGCGGCCGCTGGTGGTTCAGCTACACTTTGTGCAGCTGTGGCCGGCCTCTTGTTGTGCAGGTGATCAGGCAACAGTCTCCCCATGATTCACGTGCACTTGGTTGCTGCCACCTGTCACCAGCAGCGGCCGCCGTGCTTTCATCGCTGCTAGAAGTCCTTCCGAGCAGAGTCACTTCATAATGTTCATGCTGCCACCCCACACACTCTAACTGAGTCAACTCGGAATCGGTCCGGTGGGCTCTGCCCCGTGCCGCGTGCCTGGGTTGTTGTCAGATGTTGTCAGAACCTCTTGGTCCAAATTTATCCAAATTTCAAAGCAAGCGCCCTCATTGCAGTCGGGCTACCTCACCTGCGGCTGCCGGGGATCCTTCTCCCTCATGGCCTGCCGCCCCCGCCCTGGAGCCGGCTCTGCTCGAGGCGCAGCTGCTAAGTCTGCTGTGTAACATCATGTAGTGTTTTCTTAAAACTGTTCTTAGAAGAACGGACACTGTGCAGGCTTACAGTCTGGCTCTGATGGCTCTGTCAGGTCATTAGGGCTTTGCTTTCGATTGCACCTTGCAGCTCACATAATGTCATCCAGCTCAAGAAAATGCTGCACCTTGGAGCAAAATGCATCCATCTCCCTCTGGCCAACGTGGATTTCGCACCCCGATATTCTGTGTTATGCAGCTGAAGCCATGAGCACTTTAGCACTGGTTCAAAAAAGGGCACTCCCACCACCCACAGACAGGGGGCCAACCCTGATGCAGCAGGCAGGAAAGAACTGGAATACAGAAAAAAGTGCAGCGGCCGTAGGGCTCACTGCTGAACAGCATCCAGAACAAGACAGTTCACACTTTAAGAAAAAGGGAGCGGACCGCTCCAATATCTCACTCGTGCGTCCACGTCTTGTTCAAAGGTAGTCAAAGGAATGACATCAGCACGTTCAGGAAACCGCGCAGTCCGCTCCTTCCTGCCCTTCTGCCCTATTCTTCGCTAATTCGTCATCAGCACTTCATGCATGTCAAGGCTGGTGTTGCGAATGAGCAGCCCTGCCGCGAGCCAGATACGCAACCGACGTGCCAGAGGCCGCGAGGGCAACGGCATTGGTTCAACTGCAAAGCTCTTGGCAACAGCGGCAGCGGCGGACGGCCTCCATGAGATGGCAGCTGTTGGGGGATGGGCTGTGCACAAGACGTCACGTGACAGGACCGGTCCCAGATCAGCAAGGATGCCAAGCATGAGGCCTAACGCTGGTCCCATCTTGCTCGGAATAGCCAGATGCTGTCGGACTGTCTTCGTAACCTTGCGACTAAATGCTCGGCAAACGGCCGCTCCTTGCGAGGCGGCTTCCACGTGCAGCAGCAAAGTCAAGGCTGATTCCTGCTCAGCAAGTGCTAGGTCACTAGCAAGGATGGAGCCTTGCACAACAGCTGCAACAGCAGATCGCTGCGACAAGACTGGACCGTGTCTAGCCTGATGCAAGTGCAGAGCACTCCTCACAGGCGCCAATAGCGCGGTACTGTCCAGATTCAGAACCAGCATCCGAGCTGCGTCATCAACCAAAAGCATTGCTGTAGCCCAGGCACTGCCCTGCTCACACGCAAGAATGGTCGACGAAATGGCAGGTGCATCCGGAAGCGAGGAAGTCAGGAGCAGGTCCAAGCACTTCTCCCACTCTGTAGAGCTAGCTAGACAAGACATGAGGGCGCCAATCGAAGCTGGAGATTGAGGAAAATCAGTGCTGAATAAGCGCAATGCCTGATTCCAATGCGAGCCCCTCCTTGCAGAAATCATTGATAACAGAAACTTCGGCAGTATAATAAGAAGAAAGTGAAATTAGTTGATATGCCCCAACTCACTGGTACCTTCTGCTATTTACTACTTCTGCCGACAGTCTCACATGCAGCAACAGCTGCACCCACGCATGCTGGACTGGCCGCAACTCCACGAAAACGCATCTCGTGCAGAACAGCAGAAGCCAACATCCACTGAGATCCTAAACTGCAAGCTGCAATCACAGATCCATAAGTAACGACGTCGGGTTCGACACCTGTATGCAGCAAAATGTGTAATGCCCTGGCCCATTCTCCACCACGTGTGCAAGCAGTCCCCATTGCATTCACCATCGCCAAATCCAGCCGGACGCGAGCCGTGGCAAAGAATGCAAGTGCCGCATGCCAAGCGGCACCTCTGCCGCAAGCATCGATTGCAACGCAGAAGCCCTTGGAGTCTGGTGAAGTTGAAGCCTCAGCCAGGCGTGATCGCAAAGTGTGACACGAAGAAAGACTTAAATCAGTTCGCATACCTGCCTCGGCAGGTCATGCCTGCATCAAACTGGAGCCAAGTGTCCAACAATTCCACCGAGAGCGTCCACCTGGACAGGGCTCCTCGTTTTCTTGTGCGTTTTTTGCATTGTTGTGCGGATTGCTGGACAAATAATGCAAAGGTTCGTGGCTGCGCATGGATGCACATGTCTCTGTCTTCGCATCTTAGCTCTTTTGGAGAACTGCACCTGGACACTTTTCCACAGGCAGATGCCACAGCAGTGACGGCTTGAAGCGCTGGCTGCACGGACATTTGCTGAAAGTCCACCATCAAACTTGCAGCCCGTTGCCATTGGTTACCTGTCCAGATTACAGAAACATCTTGTGGCGAACAGAGCCTGACCGTAGCTGAAGCCGTACATGAAAGATCATGAAAGGAAGTTGCTCACCAACTTCTGCTTGCGGTATTGATTGGAAAGGAGCTTATGCGCCTGACGCTGGCCGAGGTTTTCAGCAAAAATTGGACCGAAGGAAAATCAGTTGCAGGGGGACGGACCTCAAGCCGAATCAGAAGAAACCATCTACAGGATCTGGTTTGCACACCTTGTGACAACAGCTTATACTAATTATACTCTACAGCAGACCTTTGGTTTGATGAGCCCTCCAATGACTCGAGCTTACCGATGTATCAAAACAGCTGCTTCGGATCTTCAAACTTCAGCTTGGGGAATTCGCGCAGGAAGTCCAAAAGACTGCTGCCTGTTTTACGTCGGTGAAAACATTCACTGGAAACACGCCTCTGGAAAGAGCTGCCATCAAAGCATTGCAGCAAACCTGCCAAGGCTTGCTTGTCATCATGCTGTGCAAATGTACAAATCCTGGGTATTCAGATTCAAGGATTGCCCCTGCCTTGTCCGGACTCGCTCCATCCTGCACAAGTAACCAAGAACAAAACCAGTCCTATTTAGGAGGAGGCCACTGCCTCCAAATCAAGCTGCGCAAATCTTGCCAGCGCATCGCGCCACTCTCCCCTTCTTCCATGTCGAGTAATGGCTTGCGTGGTTCGTCGCAACAGGCTTCCCGACATTGCAGCACTAGCCCACACTGTTGCTGCACGAGCCATGCACGGATCTGTAAAACACAAATCAGCAAATAATCCGAATTAGTGGAGCACCCCACTCAGCAAGATTGCAGGACCGAATCTTTTCTTTTCTTGCACATGCACAAATGTTAGAAGTGGAGCACACGGAACTTCCAGGTGCCATCATCAGGATCATAGTCCTCAAAGATTGCACCTTTCTCTTCCGTCATTTGTGCAACACGTTGCTTGTACCTGTGACGTGCCCGGGTATCTGTTAGGCAAGTCTGGGATTTGGGCATGCAGCCGTACAGTACAACTGTGGCTGGCTTGTTTAAGCCACATCCCACCTCCGGCTTTAAGGTGGCATCTGGGTACACGACTATTTCACCTTGTTCTACCATGAGGATATCCGGCAACATGTTCAACAAGTTGCGGCAATCGGTTTGCCCGTGGAATGTTATGTGGCCAACCCCGTCCCGACCCACAACTAGGTCCTCGACGCAGCAAAGCGCGGCCTCATCCAGCTCCCACAGCGGGGGGTTTACGTACAGGCCTCCCCGGTTGCTGAGTGCAACTGCATCATCCCGATGCGCTTTGGCGGTGTCTGGTGCGGTTCGGAACTTGCTCTCAGTTTGCATCTCCGAATCTGCGGCTCGCAACTGTACAAGCAAGTGCGCAACGGCCAAGCACCAGTCTGCCAGCGGCGCAACAGCAGGACACTTGTCTGCTAGAGAGCCATCACGAAATGCAGGAGCTTCCAAAAGCTCAAGAAAGTCCTGCGCTCGAGAGGACGGGCATCTAGCTGCTTCCATGGCACTGAAGGAAGTTAATCGGTGCAACAAAGCTGAATCCAACCGTCGCTTCACTGCAGACCAGGTAGACTCATAGCAGCCCAGCAACGTCGAAAGGGCATCAACAACCTGACAAACTGCGGTTGGTGGCTGCCGGAAGGACCGCAACTCATGTAGCATTTTCAGGGAGATTGACCGACTAGCATGCTCCACTGCCGCTGCAGCAACAGCTATCGCTTCCACTTGAGCGGAATTCAGAACCACTGCGCTCTGCGCTGGCGGAATGCTGCTAGCCACTCCTTTATCCTCACCCTCAATATCATCATGGCATGGCCGTGCTGCAAGCTGCGCTTCCTGCAGGTTCATTTGGCCGTTCATGGCCATGATAGAACTTTGTTTGTCTACGGGCGGGCCAAACTTGCTGACAACCTGGTGCAAGTGCAAAGCTTCTGGTCTGTGCCGTGACTCTGCTTGCAGGTCGCACTCTAGCCCAGGCACCGAGATGCAGACCTTGTAGGCTTCTGGCATGCCGTTCGCACCTATTCCCTCTGAATCATCTCTCGCAGAGTTTGGAGCTGTCGTGGGCAGGCCAATTGGAAGTGTCGGCTCTTGGGGCTCTGCCTGGTATCTTCGTAGCCCCATGCTTGGGCGCCGCACAGGCATTGCCCTTAATCCGGATCCACATACATCACTCCCCATACTGCCCCCCAAGCCGCCAGATTCGTTGGCCCCAACCTCAGAATCTGCAGTCAATATGCGGCTGTTACCCAAAGGGCCGACAAACTGCCCAGTGCCCTCTTCGCCTGCGAAATAACGTTTCCAAACACTGTTCTTGGGACTCGAATCTTGCGTTGCACATCTACCAGCACTCTGTTGCTGTTGCGAAGCGAAGCTGATGGCTGGCTCCATTGCTGGCCCGCGTGCACCTGCCGGTGAATTTCGGAAATCGGGCATGGTCCGAATATCTTGATTCACTTCAAGGACTGACCTGGTGATTGGCTCTGCTTCATGCCATTGTGAGGCTGAGAGGGGCTGAGCTTTTGTTCCAAGATGCTCAACGCAATGAACCGGACCAGCGGCATTCAATCTGGCATGAGATTGAAACACTCTGGTGGAAGGCGAAACTTCCAGTGGGGTAATAGCCGGACCCTCTGGCAGCAAAGGCCCCAGTTTCTCTGCTGAATGGACAGAAGTACTCACTGTGCTTGGAATGGTCTTGCCAATCCTGACTGCTGCCAACGGCAAAGCAACTGGCCTCTGCCTTTGCTGGGCTGATGGCGATCGCCTAGCGTCATTGCCGTAGGCATCCCACGGTGTTCGCAGGATTGGTGGAACGGAAACGCTCCTGACTCCATCGTCCGCAGGTGGCACCAAAAAACCAGAACTGGACGAAACAAGGGACCTTCGAGGAGTGTAGGTTGCTCCTGAATCACTGCAGATTCCAGCGCTAGACAATGACGATGCAGTTTGAATGCCAGGCCGTGCTGCTGGGTAACACCAATGCGGCGCAGATCCCCTTGCACTTGCATAACAAGGAGCAGCATAAGGAGCTGCAGCGAGCGGTTCGTAAACCCATGGCGCAATCAACGCAGCCATGCCCAAATTGTCTTACCTGCTTCGCTTGCCGGGTGGTATCCATGCACATGTCATGTTTGACTGCCTGCGCTGGCCCAGCTTCCTGCACGCATGCGTCAGAACGAATCAATTTCATTTGCCTACCTGTAGCTTATTCACACAAGTGGCCTCAGCATGCAGCGTTTGAACTATGAATGCCAAGTAGCTTCTCGACAAACATGTTTGCCAACCACACGAGCTAAAGATCCATATGGCTTGCATACATGGGGCGGCCAATGGTTCACTATAGCAAGTCAGCAAGCTTCCCTCTACATCCAGATCACCCCGATCATGCCAACTGCAACCGCTCTGAAGATGTCAATACGGTCCTAAGCACACCTAAACCTTTGCTGGGCTTTGAACACCATTCTCACTTGTTTTTCCCTATGTGGCACAGCTGCACCAACACAAGCATGCACGAGAAACACCCATGTATGCAAAGTGTGATCATCAATCCAATTGGAAACAATCTGATCTCGCATTCGAATTGCAAGCTGCAAAGCACATACGCAGACCCAGCATGTCTCAGCGGGACTCATTGGACAGTCTAATCTCCCCACCCTCGTCTCCGTAACTCGCCGGACAACCGCTGGGTGGCTGCAAAGGTGTTACGAGGAAGCGACGGCGATGTGCATGCGCTTGCCGAGCGGACAGCGGCGCTCCTGTGCAAACTCCTCCAGTTCCTGCCACCCGAAGCAGCCGCGCGGTCTGGTCGCACCTCGCGCCACTGGAACAAAAGCCCTAATCTCGTTTTTTTGCTCCTTCGCTGGGGGGTGCGGGGCGGCCGCTAAATTGTCGCCTGCACTTGGTTTCAGCCATGGACATGTTGATTTCCGTACATTGCCGCCGCAGCTGTTTCCCACCCGAGTTGCTTTGCCAACACGCGGTTTGCAGCCATGCCTTGCCGAGTATGCCAAGTGCACGACGCCGTCGGTGGAGGCTCTGGTGACGTTTGCAAAGCGGTGCGGCGCCTTCACCGCATCCGCAATTGCCGCCACACAGCATCGGCAAAGCTCCTGTTCAGCGTGGCGCACGTCCGGGCAGCTTTCGTGCCAGGCCCACTTCCCGAAACTGGGCGGCAGCCGCGAGCCCAGCAAAGAGGGCTCCCGCAGCCCGCAGCGCTCGCCACCACGGTTTGCGCGTGCAGGTGAGCCAGAGCAATGGCTGGCGGAAGCCGTGGAGCTGGCGCTGGCTGCTAAGGGCGGCGGCAAAAACCGCCAACTAGCAGGCAAAGGATTCTATACGTTACCACGGGTTTATTGGGAGGGGCAAGCGCAGCCGTCGCCGAAGCGCGATTTGCATGGTTTCTGGCGAGAGGCTGCCCCTTTCGGGATAGCAGCAAGCCAAGAGCCTGCGTGCGGCCCAGATTGGGAGCGAAGCAGCGCCCGGTGATCGGGTGGCAACGTTGGCAACAGCACGCGGCTGCGATAGTAGAAGTTGCGATTTCGCGACGCGTGGAAATGCCAGCCGTGCGGCCAGTCTCCGAGGCCTGCTATTGCACTGGGCGCCGCCAAAAGGCCGCTGGTGACGTCCTGCCAGCTGGGGCAATCTGTGATCAGAAGCCGTCTGGCTGCGTTTGCATGAGCGAGGCATAGGGCGTTGTCAGCTCCCTGCGCCGGCATGTCTGGGAATCTGGCCTGGTGTCGGAAACCCCACCCAACAGCTCCAACAAGGATGCGCCTGGGCATTGAGGCTTCTTATGTCGTGCGGCGGGACCGTCCGAAGCGCATGGTTCGCGCGAGGGGACGCGCACAGCGCTCGCAAGAGCCACGCGCCCTGTACGTCCGTCAGGAGCGGCAAGTGTTTTTTTCCTTGGACCTTTGTGCATCTGCTGCAAGCGGGCACCAACCACGTATTGCCCAATGCTGTGGCAGCAACGGCTTGCTGCACTGAACCCGCTCCACTGGCCCCCGACCTATGTGCCCAGGACCACCAGCCGCTGCGCGCCTCCCATCTGAGCTCCGGGTACGCGGCGCGCTTGCGGCGCTCTGACGTAAAGGCGTGGCGCCATAAATCACCAGATCCAGTCTGAGCCTGGCGGCTGGGTCAACACTGGGTGCAATTGTGTGCGCAAGCCTTTGCCCATCCGCGTACTGCCTTTCTGGCCACCCGCACCCATGCCCGTTCCAAGATCCTGGCTCTGCATGCTAACAAGCCTGTTCTGGGGCATGCTAATGTGTGGTCGCCGAAAGCGTCCACCTGCGCACCACATCCCGGCGAGGGCCCGCAGCGGAAGGCGCAGGCTGGCGCAGCGCCAGCTGCATGGCATGTGGCTCTAGGGTGGTGGCGGGGTCACTTGGCACGCTGTCAGCCACGGCCTTGCATGCGGCCCGGCCTGCGAGCACACAAGCACGCAGGCGCTTGGCAGCAAAGTCGGCAAAAACACGCGCTCGCGAAAATGTAAGTTGCGAATTCGCAACGCGTGGGACTGCCAGCCGTGCGGCGAATCACCCAAGCTTGTGTCCTGCATGCGGGGAGCCCGGGCGCCGTCAAAGATGGCCCAGCACTCAGGGCACGCTTGCCAGCCCTCATCTTGGAGCAGCTGCAGCGGGCCCGAGGCTCGCCGATTGGCGCCCCCCTTCTGCGAGCGAGTCCAGGCAGGACTCAGCGAAGACTGGGAGGCGCTGGCGGATTGGCAGAGCGACATCCCACCACGCCCAGTAAGCAGTGGCGCCGTTTTTGGGCGGAAACCAATCCGAGGCTCCCCGAGCGATGCGTCCCAGCATTTTGGCATATGGGGCGAACGCTGTTGGCGGCAAGTGCTCCAACAACTCCTGAGCCTGCTCTTGGGCCACTTGCTGCGCGGTCCATGCGGCTTTAAAACCGGGATGGCCAACCGGCGAACCGAGCACGACCTCGTTGATTTGGCAGCTTCCCCGCGCCACGCGTCAGGCCCCAATTCGGTGACCCCGGCGGCGCAGCGCCTGCAATTGCCCCGATCACGCGACTTTTGCCCAATTTGGAAGCAATATCACAGCCCTCTTCGACGGAGTTGGTTATTGTGACCAAGAATCCCTGACAAGCACCGTGACAAGGTACAAATCCTCAGGCACTAGGTCTGATGCAGCTAGTGCGTCACAACTGTGACGCCCGGTGGTCCGCCCGCCATGCAGTAAGCTGATGCTGGGACAACATGCCGGCAGCCGAGCCGAGCAACGGCATGAAGAACCAGGTTTTCATGCCGAGGACCTGCGCTGCAAAAGGCCCACGTTTCCAAACGTGAGCTGGGCCAATGGCGCAGGCATGCATCTTAGGCAGGCCCCAGCGGCTCGGCGGCTTGACGGTTTCTCAACACAAGCACGGGAACCGGCATGTTGGCGAGGACACTCTGCAAACCCTCCGTGACCCGGCCCGACGCCTGCAGCAACCTTAGGAGCCCATGCCCCAAGAGATCCTGGACTTCGTGCTTGCCGCTCCTGTTACCCTGCGGGACTGATAACGCAAGTGCACGGTGTTGCACACTGCTCGCACAGCCGCCGCAATGCCATAGAACAGAATGTTGAGAAGGAGGGGCGTTGGCGAAGCCGCTGAGCAAGTCGTTCGGTTCCCATGCTGCGCAGGTCATGCCCGGCATGTGTGGCACAGCTAAAGCGCAAACTGTGCCATCTGACCGAACCGGACTTATGGCTGCAAGGGTTCGCTCTTTTCGTTCTTGTCGGCGAGCTGTGCGACGGCAAAGCAGTGCGCAAGGCAGCGCTCGTGGAACGGCGCAGTATAACAGAAGCAGCCGCGCGATCTGAACGTCCTCCAGTGCAGGGAGCTGGTCCAGCAAAGAGGACTAGCGCTCGAGGGTGACACGGAGGTGTCTTCGGACGTGTTCTGCAGTGCCGATGGGAACTCCCAAAACGAGGAGGCCACGTTCTGCTGGGTCGAGGGCGGGATCACATACCCACCCATCAGCACCCACGGCAAGCTGGGCAACACCACGGGGAGCAACGCCGGCGGCGTTCCGAAAGGTTGTTTTGTTCAGGTTCAACTGCAATCGTGCATGGGCGAACGTGTGCTGTTCGAGCCGGTCAAACAGATGAGAGGCACGGGCAGGCGGAGCGAGGATGTACACGTCATCCAAAAAGGCAAACGTGTCCTCCCCGGGATGGAGCTCTTTCCTGCAAGGAGCGTGGCGCATGTGCCAGGGCGAGGGAGAAGAAACCCGGCATGAGTGGGTCCCCCTGTTCGCCGCCCTCCGCTTGCGTGATGACGTGGGTGGTCGCCTGGAGTGCGGTCAAGATGATGGGGCGGCTGACGACATCATAGGCCGCAGCCGCATCCAGCGATACGATCGTTAGTTGCGGGTCTGTCGCAGTACGGTGCT